AAAAATAACCCCAACTATACGTACAGTATGATGGGGGCTAATTTGGCTATGACAAATCAGGAAAGAGATCTTGGAGTTATCGTGGACAGTTCTCTGAAAACTTCCACACAGTGGGCGGCGGCGGTCAAAAAGGCAAATAGGATGCTGGGGATTATTAGGAAAGGGATAGAAAATAAGACCCAGAATATCTTACTGCCCCTGTATAAAACTATGGTACGCCCACATCTTGAATACTGTGTACAGATGTGGTCTCCTCACCTCAAAAAAGATATTTTGGCCTTGGAAAGGGTTCAGAAAAGGGCAACTAAAATGATTAGGGGTTTGGAACGGGTCCCATATGAGGAGAGGTTAAAGCGACTGGGACTTTTCAGTTTAGAAAAGAGGAGACTGAGGGGGGGATATGATAGAGGTCTATAAAATCATGAGTGGTGTGGAGAGGGCCGATAAAGAAAAGTTATTTATTAGTTCCCATAATAGAAGAACTAGAGGACACCAAATGAAATTAATGGGTAGCAGGTTTAAAACTAATAAAAGAAAGTTCTTCTTCACACAGCGTGTTGTCAACCTGTGGAACTCCTTGCCAGAGGAGGCTGTGAAGGCTAGGACTATAATAGAGTTTAAAGAGAAGCTAGATAATTTCATGGAGGTTAGGTCCATAAAAGGCTATTAGCCAGGGGATAAAATGGTGTCCTTGGCTTCTGTTTGTCAGAGGCTGGAGAGGGATAGCAAGAGACAAATCACTTGATCATTTTCTTCAGTCAACCATCTCTGGGGCACCTGGTGCTGGCCACTGTCGGTAGACAGGATACTGGGCTAGATGGACCTTTGGTCTGACCCAGTACGGCTGTTCTTATGTTCTTATGTTCTAAGAACACTGATGTTCTAATGTGTGAAATCAGGGCTTCTCACGCAAGAACTATGATGCTCCCGTTCAGGAATAAGCCCTGTTGTGCACCTGTTCTTGCACAAGAGGCCAGTGTAGACAGGCAACATGAATTTCTTGTGCAAGAAAGCCCGATGGCTAAAATAGCCATCGGAGCTTTCTTGCGCAAGAGAGCATCTACACTAGCATCGATGCTCTTGCACAAAAGCACATCTCTTGTGCAAAGGCACATGCTAGCGTAGACACTCTCTTGTGCAAATACTTTAATGCAAAAACTCTTGCGTTAAAGAGCATTCGCGCAAGATCATGCCAATGTAGACGTAGCCTTCAGGACTGAGGAAAATGCAGTTTGGGGCCAGGTTCCAGGGAAACCATTCCTCAAATGGGATCAGAGCCCGAAAAAATTATGCAGGTAAATTATTCAAGTTAGCCCCCTTTAACAATGAAAGGAGAATGCACACACAGATTGCCCACTCAGGTAACAATTATTTACACTGGGTTTGATAGTAAATAAAAGTGATTTTATTAAGTATGAGCAGTAGGATTTAAGTGGTTGCAAGTGAAAACAGGCAGAACAAAGTAGATTACAAATTTTAAAATACAGAAAATGCATAGATAACACTATGCAGTATAAATATACACTAAAACTGTTCTTCTTTCAGCTAAGCCTCCAAACCAGGGAAGATCTTTTTTCCTTTGGGGTCTCTGGTTTATTCTCTTGGCAGTGACATGCCAGCCAAAGACCAAGAACTGAAAAACGTTGCAACTTAAATAGCCTCCCTTTTTAGGTGTCAATTCTGTTTCTACATTCCACCCTTCCATGGAAAATTTCCAGGACAGACTGTACCAGTTAGGGCAGAGGGTGAGGGGGTGTTCCCTTGAATTCCTAACACCAACCACTTCTTAAAGGAGAAAGGAAGCTGTTCACAGGTGGTCATCCAGACATTGAGGGAAACAGTCATAATGGCTTTCATTTGTACATTTAAAACCATAAACCATGTTATACTCTATATTTCTAACTTTATGTACAAGAGTGATACATAACACCAAATAAGATACAGCAAATAAGATTACACATCCAGCAGATTGTGACATGAATAGGTTAGATGAGGTATTGCGTTCCAAGCATCTTCGAGTTATATATATTTATGTCCATAAGTCAATTTCACAAAGCATGGGTGTGAGTGTGTGAAACCTTCACAGACATTTCTTCTTCAGCTTAACTGATATTGCTCGAATGAATGATGACTGATCATCTTTATACATATATCTGGACTTTCTTCTTATTCTCAGCCTCTTTTTTCCTCCTCACATAACCTCTAAAAGGCAGTAAAGGGAGTGTAATGTGTGTGAGTAAGAACAGTATGGCTACGTCTACACTGCGCATTGAGCAAGAAGATATGCAAATGAGGCCTTATTTGCATATCTAATGAGGCGCCATTTTTACAGAAGGGACTTTTGCTCCTTCTTGGGCAAAACCCCCCTCTTGCGCAAGAGTCATTCTGCAGCTTTATTTTCAGGAAGAACAGCTCCTGCACAAGAGGGTTTTTTTTGTGCAAGAAGGAGCAGTGTAGACAGCTCCTTTTTGTGCAAAAGCCCTTTCCACAAAATGGCGGCTCATTAGGCACAGAGCTTGAAAAATAATGTAATCTACTCGCTCGTGGCAAGTAGATTACAACCCAGAAGAGCCGGCGCAGAGCGATCTGCGCATGCATAGAGCGATCTGCGCATGCACAGAACGCAGAACAGTGCGAAAGCGCGCGGCTGGCGAGCATGGCTCACCGCCACTTGGCGAGCCCTGTGTATACAAATGACACACAGCAATATTCATCGCTGTGCCTCATTTGCATATCTTCTTGCGCAACAATGCGCAGTGTACACATAGCCTATATGAGTAGCAGGGGAGCTGGGAAGAGAGCAGCATGAGGGGTGAGATGTATGTGGGTATAAATAGAGAATGAGTGTGGGGGGTAGGATACATGTGGGTGGGTGTCAGAGACCAGTCTATTGAGCAGTATGTGAGTTAGGCAGTATCATATAAGCAGGAATATTTGGGGCCTGCAGCTCAGCATGCTGGGATGGAAGTTTCCATACTCCCTGTACTCAGCCTAGAATAGTGATAGAGATGCAGCCATGTTAGTCTGGTCTAGCTGAAACAAAAGACATAACTATGTAGCACTTTAAAGACTAACAAGATGGTTTATTAGGTGATGAGCTTTCGTGGGACAGACCCACTTCCTCAGATCAATATGTGGAAGAAAATCGGCACAACCATATATACCAAAGCTATCTTTGTAATGGGTGAGATAATAAGATTTATGTATGGGTTTAACAAAGACTGTAATTATCTCACCCATTACAAAGATAGCTTCCCCAATTATCACCTCTATGTCATTACCTCATGGACACTAACCTTCACCCCTCACCCCCACTCTGTTCTAAAATTTGATTTGTCAATTTCACATGCGTTCATTTTTTTGTTTGTATCACTTTGGTATATATGGTGGTGCCGATTTTCTTCCACATATTGATCTGAGGAAGTGGGTCTGTCCCACGAAAGCTCATCACCTAATAAACCACCTTGTTAGTGTTTAAAATACTACATAGTTCTGTCTTTTGTACCCAGCCTAGTACAGCCTTGGAGTCTGTAAACGCAAACAGCAGCTGGCCCTTATCAGCTTTAACACATGCACTTGAGCTGGGAAACTACTAAGTGGTAAATAAGTTTGACCTCAGACTCAGCTCATGAGAATGCTAAGAATGGCATTTACACGCACACCCGGTAAACAAACTGGAATATAACTAGTATAGAGAGTGCTGTGCCTGGTGAGTTTCACCAGGGACCTAGACCTCAGAGGGTACCCTGGATTTCCCTTGCTGGAGCTATGTCAACTGTGGCCCTTGAAGCGAGGATCAGAGACGGGACATAAGCATTCCAAGTGCCTCTTACTCTTATATGCATTGCTCTGTAGTGCTTTCTGATGTGCACTTTGTAATAGCTGTATAACCACAACACAGCAACATCAACTTTGTAGTAGCAGTGACATAGTGAGACTAATAAAGCAAGTCTATCCCTAATCGACTCTGTGTTGAAGCGAATCCATAATCCTGTTCGTCCATGGTAGAGACTGACAGGCTGGCAGTAAGGAAAGGAGACTAAAGATTTGTGAGAAGTCTGTGGGGCATTGGGGAATAGAATGGTGAGAAAGATACAAGTGTGTGGCAGTGGGGGAAAGCATGAGAAGGGATAGTAGGGGCAAGGTAGAGGTGTGGCAGTGGTGGCAGGGATGGAGTAGAGTACAGCAGTGGGGGCAGGAACAGGAGGCAAGGCACAGGTGTGGTAGTGGGAGCAGGGAATAATGGGGGCAGGTGTGGCAGTGGGGGAGGGGATAGTGGGCGTAGGGCAGAAGTGTGGATGAGGGGACAGGGACAAAAGGGGCAGAGCACAAGTGTGACAGTGGGTACTGGGGGTGGCAATGGTGCAGGGACAGCTGGGCAGGCCACAGGTGTGGCGAGGGGTGGAGGGCAGGAGAAGGCACAAGCAGGTAGTGGGGAGAAAAAAAACGGGGGGGGCAAGCGGGGAGAAGTGATAAGTGGGGGGAGGCAGGGCACATGTGCGGCAGGGGGGAGGCGGGATGGGGGGATGGGGGCAGTGGGAAGAAGGGGTAGCGGGGTGGGGATGGGAGGCAGGGCACAGGTGGGGCAGTATGGAGAAGTGATGGGGAGAGGGTAGGGCACAGCTGGGGCTGCAGGGAGAAGCAATAGTGGAGCAAGAGGAGACAATGAGGAAAAGGGCAGGAGGGGAGGGGGAGGGAAGTTATCAGTGGAGGTGCAAAGGGGAGGGGACAGGGTGATGCTGGGAGAGGAGACGAGGGCCAATGGGGAGGAAGAGAAGAGGGGAGCAGTGGGTGTCCAGAGAAGAGAGATGGGCACGAGGAAAGTCGTGTGTGAGGGTGGAGAGGGGCGTGAGGCAAACTGGGGCAGAGGGTGGTGAGGGGGTGGGCAGCAAGGAGGAAGAGGGCAAGGGGGGCAGGTGTCGGGAGGGCAGGGACAGTGAGGGAAGGGGGAGGCACCTGGAGGGTGCAGGGCTAAGGGAAGGTGCAGGTCCCCACTTTGCCTCGCTTTACGGCAGTGTCGCACGCCGCTGTGTCGCGCCGGGCCCGGCAGCCGGAAGGCAGGTGAGTGCCGGGCGGGAGGGGGTCGGGCCGTGCCAATGTGGCATTTGACTACTGGGCCCCGCTGTGGGTCTGCTCAGCCCGGAGCGGGGGCGCGCGGCGGCGGGGGCTTTATTCCTCTGTTCGCGGGGCGGCGCCTCTCCCGGAACCCGCCTGGTGCTGGGGCGCGCACGCTGCGCAGCGCCGAGTTACAACCGATGTCGCCGCCCACGTGCCTCAGTTTCCCCAGCTGGTGCCCTGGGCCCTCGGTCGCCGTCTCCCCCTGAGCTCCTCGCCCCGGCGCCCTGGGCAGGGGGTGACTTTGCAGAGACAGGGGGAGCGGAGCCTGTGTCCGTGCGCGGGGCCCTTGTGCGTCTCCCCGCAGCTCCGGACCCAGCAGCCGGCACTGGGCTGTCAGTGTCCTGCAGCCTTGCTGGGGCCTTTGCTCGGTGTGTAGCCAGCCCCGTCTCGGTTGGCTGCTTTCAATGCTCCTGGTTTCCAGAGGGCTTGCTTCCCTTGCCGGCATATTTTGGGGGGAGGGAGGGAGGGAGGGAGAGGAGGGATTGGATGTATTATAGGGACACTGCCAACAGAACATCATTTGACAACAATGCTGTTATCAAGTATGGATTATTAGACATTAAACATTTTAAAAATCCAGTTTACTCTGCAGCTCTTGTTGTTTGACAAATCGATTAAGTCAGTTTCACTTTCCAAGCACTAGCTTAGTGTTCTCATGTTTGGATTTCAAACACTGCTGGAGAACATACAGATGGGATTTAAAACAAAATAAAAAGAACACTTGGTCAGGTTTTGCAAAAGTTTATGAATAAAATTTGGGTTTTAGGTCAAATATAAGTTTGTTTGCCATGCTGCTGAAGTGCTGTTAGATGCAGGATATGAAAAATACACAGTTTGGTATTTATGAAAGAGGCAAACTTACTCAGAACTCTTCTTCAGGTATGGTAAAGGTATTAGCTGTTCCATGACGAGTATAACATGCAACAGATTTTTAAGCAGAAAGAGTTAACACATGTTGCAAGAGACTGTTCAAGACCAAGTGGATAGTAAAGACTTCTGAAGCTATACAACAAGGGGTCATTTTAATGAGACATAAAAACTGTGTTTGTAGCAGGGGTGGTCAAGATACGGCCCGTGGACAAGTCTGACCCACCAAGCCATTTGAGGTGGCCCACAGCTATCCCGCCAAGTCCTTTGGTCAGTTGAGACCTGGGGGTGGGGGAATGTGTGGAGTCATTCACTGTTCAAAATGACTTGCAGTTCCTTCTAGGCATCCCATGCTCTAGCAGGGAGACTTCACAAGCTTTTCTGCCGCAGGCCTCAATTGGCCTGCGATCAGGGAACACACAAAGTTTCATTTCCCCACTAAGGGTGCGTGGCACCTAGAAGTAACAGCCCTTTCTGCCCGACGCCCCACCCCTTCAGGGCAGAGCCAGCAAGCGACACTACCCACAATTTGTGAAATGGCCCCCCTGAAAAAATTATTGCCCACCCCTGCAATAGTCTATTGAGTCTGTGGTATGTAGCGTCTAGAAAAGTTTTTGAAGGTGCTGTGCAAGTTTCTTTTCAGGTCAAGGACTTTATTAGTCAAAATATGGAGTGATCAAGCTGTGAAAAGTGATCAACAGGTGATCTGGTATATTTTTGTCTTGTCAGTTCTGTGTGATGTCATTTAAGACTGTATTGGTTTCACCCACATACCATATATTCCGGCGTACAAGACGACTTTTGATGTTAAAAAAAATCCCCCAAAAATCGGGGGTCGTCTTGTATGCCGGGTATACATCCCAGGCAAGCATGGGCCCCGCCTCCGGCTTCCCCCGAGGCTTGGCAAAGCTGCTGTGGCTTTGCTCCCGGTGCCTCTGGTCTGCTTGGGACCGTCTCCAGCAGACCAGGGACACCGAGAGCAAAGGAGGCGGAGGGGCGCTGGGGTATAAGATGAAACCCTATCTTTTAATTAAAAAATTAGGGGGTCGTCTTATACGCCCAGTCGCCCTATACGCCGGAAAATACGGTAGGTGTTGGAGGCATTTGCTGTACTAGATGAGGTATACCAGATGTGGTGATAGGTGTGTGCAGGAATATTGAAAGACATGTTCGGGGAGGTGTTGATCAGTGGAGATGGGTGCAGGTTTTGCATCTGCTGTGGCAGGGTCTTGTGCTGCTTTGAATTAGGGTGTCCTGTAGTCTTTCAAGACTTAGGCATGTGTAGGATCCTTATCGCACGTGTGGTCAATGTTAAAACTTCTGGATCTGGGCCATTTAAGTTGAGCTATTGTGTACAAGTTTACCTTTTGAATATGAAGCTTCAGGGAGTGGCCGAGTTAGTCTGTACAGGAAAAATCAATGAATGGTCTGGTAGCACTTTATAGACTAACAAAACATGTAGATGGTATCGTGCGCTTTCGTGGGCATACTGAAGAAGTGGGCTGTGCCCATAGAAGCTTACAATACCATCTACATGTTTTGTTAGTCTATAAAGTGCTATCCGACCATTTGTTGTTTTTTGAATATGAGGTATGCTAAATTTGTTACCATTGCTTAAGAAGATAAAACAAAACATATTAATATTTAGGGGTTGTAGGAAATGTTCTTAATTCCTTTGTATGGAGTAGGAGTGAGTTTGTAGTTCGTATTAGCCAAATTAATTGAAATTGTAGTAGGGATGTAAAATTCCATTTAATCAGTTAACTGGCTAAATGTTACAGTTAACTGGGATCCCATGGGTGGGGGGCACATCTGAGGTGGAGCAGCCCTCCAGGTTGCTGGTTAACTGGTTACCGATAAGCATCATCTGGCAAGGGTAATGCTTACCTAATAATAGGTTACATTAAATTGTAGTAGAAGTGTTACTTCTTTTAAAGCAGTATTAGATGCGCTTTTCTCATCTATCTTTGTTTTAAGAAGTCATGGTGACATTCTGGAGGAACCTCATCCAGTCGTTAATAGTTAGCAGGAGCGAATCTGTAACATGGGACTTGAGAAAATATAAAGCAATGAAATATATTAGGACACCTGGCCAAACACTTTCCAAGAGGAATTGAAGGAACCTCTGAGAGACATTAAAACAGTGTGTAGTAGTATCTCAAAGGTATGGACATATTGGTTCAACCAGGCACCATGTGGAATGAGAAGTAATCAGGCAGCCAGGGAGACTAAAAAACCCAAAACAGCAAATACTGTGCTATGTTGGGGCTTTAGCTCTGGAGCTCAAGGCTTCAGCCAAGGTGGGGAGGGGAGGAGAATTGCGGGATGGAACTACAGTTGTGGGGCAGAGCCGTCAAGTTTCTTACAGCCGATGTGAAAGGTTAACAGGTAAGCATCGCCCTTCATGGGTGAGGCTTACTAGTTCTGGTTAACCGAACAGCTCCCCACCCATAGGACCTGCTACAGACGGGCTGCTCTGGGTGTCTGGAGCAGCCCCTATCTGTGGCGTGCCCAGGTGTGTCACAGGCAGAGGCTCCTGTCTGTGGCAGGCCAAGTCGCATCATAGGCAGGGGCAGCCCCCCTTAATTGGTTAACTGGTTAATGTGAAGTAGATTTCACATTTTAACTAGTTAACTGGTTACCCAGGATTTTATATCCCTACTTCTGACCCTTTGGAGCTGTGGGGTTCAAAGCTTCAGCCCCACAGATCCATTCCCAGGGTGAGGCCTGACACATCCTCCCTTTGCTGAGCTGTGGGAAATCCTGAACCATGGGTGAGAATTTGGGAATGGAGCTGTGGGGCTGAAGCACTGAGCCCCAGCGCTCCCTGCAAGGCTGAAACTGGATATCATGGGACTGAAGCCTGGAATCTCAGCACTCTTCCCCAGATGTAAAATCTGAGAGCCTTGGTGCTCCCCTGTGGGTGAAATCCTGAACCCCTTGCCTGTCGCTCTGATACAGTGAGGATCAGAAGTCCCTCCCAGAGTTCTGACACAACACCAGCAAACCCTGCGGCTATAGCCCTTCTTGTTCCCACTCCCTCCATCTCCCCCCACACTGCAGCTGAAGTTTGTAACACCTTGTTCTGAGTTACAGAATATTTCAGAGTATGAACGACTTCCATTCCTGCGATGTCTGTAACTCTGAGGTTCTACTGTTTACATTTATTGGAAAAGAATACATGCCTTTCTGCCTTCTGTATGAAACAGCTGTATTTTGTCAACCATGCATTATGTTTTAGTAACAATATTCAACATCATGGAATTAATTTTTGAACGCAAACAAGAAATGATCCTGCCTATTTATGTTTTAAAATATCTTTTACTTATGTGCAGAAAAAGGGAACTGACTTTTTCCACTACAGGCAGTCCTCGACTTACGCGGATCCGACTTATGTCGGATCCGCACTTACGAACGGGGCTTTTCTTGCCCCAGAGCTCACGGGCGGCGGGTCGCCACCCGTGTCCTCCAGGGTGAGAAAAGCTTCTCCCTGTCTCCCTGGTCTGCTGGGGGGGTCCAGCAAAGCCGCTGGACCCCCCCAGCAGACCAGGAGGACAGGAGCAAAGCCGCGGAGCACGCCCGCAGCTTTGCTCCTGTCCCCCTGGTCTGCTGGGGGGGTCCAGCAAAGCCGCTGGACCCCCCCAGCAGACCAGGAGGACAGGAGCAAAGCCGCGGAGCACGCCCGCAGCTTTGCTCCTGTCCCCCTGGTCTGCTGGGGGGGTCCAGCAAAGCCGCTGGACCCCCCCAGCAGACCAGGAGGACAGGAGCAAAGCCGCGGAGCACGCCCGCAGCTTTGCTCCTGTCCCCCTGGTCTGCTGGGGGGGTCCAGCAAAGCCGCTGGACCCCCCCAGCAGACCAGGCTTTTCTTGCCTACCCCGGGGGTAGAGCAGCTGGGGGCTGCCAGGTTGGTCCCGCAGCGCCGCTCCGGACCAACCCGGCAGCACCCCAGCTGCTCTGCCCCAGGCGTCCCCAAGTCAGCTGCTGCTGAAACTGATCAGCGGCTGATTCCAGGAAGCCTGGGGCAGAGCAACTCTGCCTCGGGCTTCCTGTAGTCAGCCGCTGGTCAGTTTCAGTAG